CTATGTGGTGGCCCACCATAGCCACCTCGATAACCATGACTGCCACAAAGGCATCTAGATGCCACAATCACCACGCAGATGGTCTGCCAGCCACTGGAGTGTGTTANCAAGCCAGTGCCTTGGGGCCCACCTGGGGACCCAGGGCATGAGGAATGGGACCGTATCCCCCCACACAACCAGGCTCACGGAGCCAGCGCCTTGGGGCCTGCCCAGGGACCCGGGGTATAGAGAGGGAACTGGACCCCCCCTCCCACAACCAGCCACCCCAAGCCAGTGCCTCAGGGCCCACCCAGGGACCCAGGACATGAGGAATGGGACCGTATCCCCCCACACAACCAGGCTCACAGAGCCAGCACCTCGGAGCCTGCCTGCAGGCCTGGGGCATGGAGAAGGGGACTGGAAACCCCTCCCACAACCAGGCACCTTGCGCCAGAGCCTTGGGGCCTGCCCAGGGACCCAAGGTATGGAGCCAGGGACTGGACCCCCTCCCACAACCAGGCACATCCTGCCAGCACCTCAGGCCCCACCTGGGGACCTGGGGCATGGAGAAGGGGACCAGGCCCCCTACCCACAACCGGGCACACTGCACCAGCTCCTTGGGGCCTGCCCGGGGACCTGGGGCATGGAGAAAGGGACCTGACCCCCCTCCCACAACCAGGCTCACTGCACCAGTGCCTCAGTGCCCACCTGGGGACCTGGGGCATGGATCCAGGGGCCAGAACCCCCTCCCACAACCAGGCACACCATGCCAGTGCCTCGGGACCTATTCTGGGACCTGGGGTATGGAGCCAGGGATTGGACACTCTCCACAGCCAGGCATACCAGCAGCACTGAGGAGCTTGCCAAAAAACATCTTCTCCATGTGGTGGCCCACCATAGCCACCTTGATAATCATGACTGCCGCAAAGGCATCTAGATGCCACAATCACCACGCAGATGGTCTGCCAGCCACTGGAGTGTGTTAACACAAGGAAACTCACCAGTAGAGTTAAAAAAAGGAGGAGGATGTCTCTCTCCATAGAGCCCATTTCAGAGTGATGGAAGAGGCATCTGCTCTGTGATAGTATTGGGGGACCTGATCACGCCTCTCGGCATTGGACAGATCATTTGGGCAGCAAATCAACAGAGTAACCATTATTCCTTCAGAGGGTGAGAAGAAATCTAGGGTGATTAGAGGGGAGTGAAAGGGGGATGGGGAGGGATTGGACAAGGCGCATAAATAATAATTATGATTTGTAACAATATATATGCTAGTAATATTGATTTGATCAACATATCTCAATGTTGAACCCCCAAAATTTGTATAATCAATTTTGATTCAGTAAAAATTTTTTTAAAAACCCCCAGAGAACAAAATCCCAAACCTCCTCAAATCACCACCCATTGCCCCATATCTGTTTCCCTTTGTAGCAAAATATCTTTAAAGAGTTCTTTACCACTTCACTTCCAATTTTCTGTATTATGAGATAATGTCATCTGTCTAAATTGAAAAACATAGGCAGGAAGCTCTATATTTTTCTGTGAGCTTCAAATTCTCCCCCTTGCCTCAGAAATAATAGAGTCTACACTTTGAACTAAAATTTGAGCTGTGAACAGCTGCAGGGAGAAGGATTGCAGGGTATGGGAGATTTTTACTTTTTGTGCAGCATTGTTTTCTATGCAGTTTGATTTTCTAACTGGATACAACTATTGCCTTCATTAAAATATGTCAGCAGTAAGCTGGACAGGTAAATTATGGGCCAATTTTGCTTGTTTTTTTTCCTTCTATATCTCTGAATTAAGAAGAAAACCTAATACATGTTTTACTATTTTTAATAAAATGCATAACTGAAACATTATACCGGTTGAATGACAACTCCCCATTTTTCCTTCTTGCCACGTCCCTGGCAGCCACTTTTTTACTCTCTGCTTCTATGAGAATATTTTAAATACTCCATGGAAGTGGAATCATACAGATTTGTTCTTCTGTGACTGGCTCATTTCACTTAGCCTAATGTTCTCCAGATTTGTCCACGCTGTCACATTTGGCAGGATTTTCTTCTTTTGTAAGACTGAATAATATCACATTGTATGTATACACCACATTTTCCTTATCCATTCATTCATCAATGGACATTTATGTTGTTTCCATATTTTGGCTGTTGTAAATAATGCTGTTATAAACATGGAAGTGCAGATCTCTCTCCAAGATCCTGAATTCAATGTTTTTGGATAAACACCCAAAAGTGGGATCGCAGGATCCTATGGTAATTCTATTTTTCATTTTNCCTTCTATATCTCTGAATTAAGAAGAAAACCTAATACATGTTTTACTATTTTTAATAAAATGCATAACTGAAACATTATACCGGTTGAATGACAACTCCCCATTTTTCCTTCTTGCCACGTCCCTGGCAGCCACTTTTTTACTCTCTGCTTCTATGAGAATATTTTAAATACTCCATGGAAGTGGAATCATACAGATTTGTTCTTCTGTGACTGGCTTATTTCACTTAGCCTAATGTTCTCCAGATTTGTCCACGCTGTCACATTTGGCAGGATTTTCTTCTTTTGTAAGACTGAATAATATCACATTGTATGTATACACCACATTTTCCTTATCCATTCATTCATCAATGGACATTTATGTTGTTTCCATATTTTGGCTGTTGTAAATAATGCTGTTATAAACATGGAAGTGCAGATCTCTCTCCAAGATCCTGAATTCAATGTTTTTGGATAAACACCCAAAAGTGGGATCGCAGGATCCTATGGTAATTCTATTTTTCATTTTTTGAGGAACCGCCATACTCTTTTTTATAGTGATGGCACCATTTTACATTCCCATCTACAGCGTGCAAGTGTTCCCTTTTCTCCACGTCCCGGACAACACCTATCTTTTGTCTTTTTGTAACAATCATCCTAATGGGTGTGAAGTGATATCTCATTGTGGTTTTGATTTTCATTTCCCTAGTGAATAGTGATGTTGAGCACCTTTCCATATACCTGTTGGCCATTTTTATGTCTTTTTTGGAGCAAAGTCTAATTAAGTCCTTTGCCTATTTTAGAATTTTCTTTTTCTTTCTTTCTTTTTTTTCTATTAAGTTGTAGGAGTTCTTTACATGTTATTGATATTAACCCCTTATTGGATATGTGCTTTGCAAATATTTTCCCCATTTTGTGCCTTTTCATTGTGTAGATTGTTACCTTTGCTGTGCAGAGGCTGTTTAGTTGGATGTTGTCCCACTTGTTTTTTGCTTTTGTTGCCTGTGCTTTTGGTGTCACCCCAAAAAGTCACTGCCAAGACCAATGTCAAGAAGATTTACCCCTATGTTTTCTTCCAGGAGTTTTACTGTTTTAGGTCTTATGTATAAGTCTTTAATTCACTTTGAGTTGATTTTTATGTATGGAGTAAGATAAGCGTCCAATTTCATTCTTTTGCATGTGAATATCCAGTTTTCCCAACACCATTTATTGAAGAGACTATTCTTTCCCCATGTGTTTTCTTTGCACCCTTGTTGAAGATTAGTTGACCATGTATATGTGTGAGGCTTATTTTGGGCCCTTAATTCTGTTCCATTAGTCTATATGTCTGCCTTTATGCCAATACCAGCCTGTTTTAATTACTGTAGCTTTGTATTACATTTTGAAATCAGGAATTGTGATGCCTCTAGCTTTGTTCTTTTTTCTCAAAAATTGCTTCAGCTATTTGGGGTCTTCAGTGATTTCATATGAATTTTAGGATTGATATTTTCTATGTCTGCAAAAAATGCCATTGGGATTTTGATGGGGATAGTATTGACTGTATAGATTACTTTGGGTCATATGGATATTTTAACAATATTAAAGTCTCCCAATCCATGAAAATCTAGAACTTGAGTGACATTTAAAAAATCATTGTTAGATAACAGAATCTTGTATTGCAGCCTTCTACTTAGTGCTTTCTTTCTTATCCAGTGAGTCCAGTGATTACTGTTAACCAAAAATAAAATTTTCTCTTTCAGGAGAAGCTTCGGCAGTTTTAAGAAGCTTGAATTCCATGTGCTAACATCTTGATGGATAATCTAAAATATAGGGAAAAGGCTGTGTTTATGAAGATTTTCCTCCCTTTGTAGGGAAAATGTTGTATTCATGATGATTCTCTCTGTCCTCTATTCTAGTAAAAAGGAGAAAATAGCCATACAACATATACCAGGCAGTCACTGGAACAATGATGTGAAGATCTTTTAGCAACATGAAATATTTATGCTATAATAAGTGAAGAAAACAGGATTACCAAATTGTATATACTCTATGATATAGACTAGAAATTATATTGGTCCTGGGGGAGTAAAATTATAGGATTTTTTAAATATCTACTTTCCTATATTGTATATTATTAAATACATAATAAATCACTTAAAAATTTACTAGAAATATTTAATACTTTAAGAAAGTAGGAAACTCTAATAAACAAAGATGCTATTAAAATATACAGCAATATCATAGAAAGAATTAAGTTGCTACTGTAGTTGGGTGAGGATGTTCATGATATTATTTTGAGCTATTTTGTTAGCATCTTAAGCAACATGATGTCACAAAGGAATAGGAACAGTTTAAGGGAATTTTGGTACCATCCTATGTCCAAAATGTTTGGGTTTGAAGTATTTCAGAATTTTCTCTGTATCTACAGTATCAGTTTGGGCTGTTATAACAAAATATCATTGACCGGGTGACTTAACAACAAACATTTATTTTTTACAGTTTGGGAGGCTCTTAATCCAAGGTCAGGGTGCTGGCAGGTCTAGTGTCTGATGAGGGCACTCTTCCTGGTTTGCCAATGGTCATATTACATGCAAAATTGCATGTAGAAATGTAAATATATATGCTTAAAAATATATACGTAAGGCAGTGGTCTAAACATTCCCCTCACAGAGGCATAGCAAGAGCAACAAGCTTAGATGTAGACATGATCTTCCAATCGGCAGATGGCAATCTACTGAGAAATCTCAAAAACATTTTTGGTCCCCTTCTATATTTAGTCACTCTCCATAGGTGGGGATGAAGTCTGCAACTGGAGTTGCGTGAGTTCTCCCTACAAGTTGCTTTCTTTCAGTTGCCCTATCAGGGATCACAGGACTCTGGGGACAGTAGAAGTAATATCTCATCAGATAAAGGGTGAGGATGACTGTCATATAATAAAGATAATAAACTTCTGCTTGGGAAATTGTTTTAAAATGTTAATTTGCTGGTTTACTGTGATTAAGTGTAAAAAGCTGTTTTATTATCATCTTAGCTGCTGAAATTTTTAATGTGTTATCAGTCTATTTCCTGCATAAGTGAATGAAGTATGTGAAGCATAATTTGCTCTTGGACACAAAGGATTCTGTAACGATCTATGTCAATATCAATTCTCATTGTACAGTATTGAATGATGTATATCCAAAAACCTAGGTGATGATACGGTTTAAAAATAAGTCCTTGAGGGCTGGCCGGGTGGTGCACTGCTATAGTGCGCCGCTTGGGAAGCC